CACGGGTTCGAGGCGGCCGCCCTGCGCGATGAGGGCGAAGAGGAGGCCGAGGTGGAGCTGGCCGAGAGCGGGCGGCGGCTGCGGCTGCCTCGGGACCAGGTCCAGCGCATGAACCCGCCCAAGTTCAGCAAGGCCGAGGACATGGCGGAGCTCACCTGCTTGAATGAGGCCTCCGTGCTGCACAACCTCCGCGAGCGCTACTACTCCGGCCTCATCTATGTGAGTGGCCCCCGGGCAGGGGGCGAGATGTCCATGCCCTGCCTTGAGACCTTTATTATCTGTCCAGTACTGGGGATTGGACCCAGGGCCTTTGCACTGAGCTGCGTCCCCAGCCATTTTTTGAATTTTTAAGCTCTGAGACAGGGTCTCACTAAGTCACCCATGGTCTGGGCTAGATTCAAATCTGGAATCCTCCTGCCTCAGCCTCCCAGAGTGCTGGGGTTACAGGTGTGCAGAACTGACAGGAACCCATGAGGACAGAAAGCTCCACACTCCCGTTAACTCATATCCTCTCCCTTAGGCAGGGTATAGTCTGTTATTACCCTCATTTTACATGAGACAACTAAGGCTAAAGATTAGAAAGTGCAAAACACAATAAAGATTAGCATTTATTAAGCATCGATGAAGTATTCTTCTAAACCCTTTATTTGACCTATGTATGTACGCATTTATTTATTAATTATTGAGACAAGGTCTTGCTATGTAGTTGAGCTGGCCTTAAACTCACTACATAACCCACGCTAAGCTCAGTCTCACTGTGCTCTTCCTGCCTCAGCTTCCTGAGAGCAGGGATTACAGGTGTGCACCACCATGCCTGGCTTCTTCTACGCTTTTAAAAATACACTGTCTCTGAGAACCAGGGCTAGAGCTCAGTGGCGCAGAGCCTGCCTGGCAAACATGAGGTCTTGAGTTCGATTCCCGGTATCCGCCCCCAATAACATTATCTTAATAACTTTTCGCAATTAGAAAGCGTCTGGTCTCCATTCTACAGATAGGGAAAGTGAGGCACAGGTGGGTCAAATTCCTTGAGCAGAGTCACCCACACAGATAAGGCAGACCCGAGGCCTCCAGGTGCCACCGCAGGAGTACATGGGACAGACGCTGTGAGGTGGCCCAGCTGGCCCGTCTGCCCCTGCCTGTCACAGCAGTGTCTTCACACTGGGCAGACTGCTGCTGTCCCACCTGGAGAATTCTTCAGAGATGCCACGCCGGCCTGGAGTCGGTTCCACAGGGGTGTGGCGCAGGCATTAGTTTTTTCCTTCCTTTAATAAGCTTCCAGGGCAACTCTTGTGGGCACCAACGGTGATAAACGCCATGAACAGAACAAACAGGATTAGAGAGATGGACAGGAATGTCGGCGACAGTGGTGCAAACCAGGCAGAACGGGCAGCTGGCAAATATTTATTGAGCACTTACCCTGTGCCGGACGCTGTCCCCAGCGTGCATGTCCTCGGCTCTGCCCAGCCGGGACTGTTGATCCCGTCTGACGCAGGAATGTCAAGTGGCCGGGCATCACAAGGCCTCGCCCTGGAGGGAGCCCAGCGGGGGGCCCAGCCCTGCTCCGGACACTGCAGCTGATGGCTGTGGAGGTGGCTGCCGGAGGACACAGCCAGGCACTGTGAGGAGGTCCAAGGCTCCACCAGAGCAGCCTCGCTTGGGCCCTGGGTGCACCTGTGGCAGTGGATGTGAGTTTGGATCGAGGCTGGGCGCCCTCTGTGGGCCCTTCTAGCCTCTCATTCTTTTGCCCCATCCACTGCCCTGGACCTCAGCAAAGCCCAGGGGAAGGCCGGGAGTGACACCCCAAGCATGCGCATACCATTGCCTGCTGTTTGTTTTGTCTGGATCGAACCCAGAGCCTTCATACTGAACTACATCGCCAGCTCTTTTTTATTGAGACACTTGCTAATCCCTAAATTATCCAGTCAGGACCCTTAATTTTCAATCCTCCTCCCTCAGCCTCCCAGAGTGCTGGGATTACAGGTGCACACCACCAAGTCCGGTTAAAGAAATACTCTGCACCCTCCCAGCCACCTTGTGAAGTGTCTGCTGTCATGTGAAGCATCAGATCTTCAGAAAGGGGACAGGTGGTGGCACACACCTGTGATCGTGGCATTCGGGAGGCTGAAGCAGGAGGAAAGACAGGCCTTGGATAAGCCCCAAAATAAGAACTGGCTCAGCTCAATTTGGACCCGGGTCGGCTTGCCTGGCACCAATGGGTCCTGGCCACCATCTAGCACTACTCCTGTCCCCAAAGATGAGGACAGTGAGACTCAGAAAGATTGCTTGCTCAGTGAGCTCAGCTGCGAAGTGTCAGGGTGGGACTGCAGCTTGGCCCTGCTTTCTTTCTTTATTTCTTTCTTTTTTGAACCGGGGATTGAACTGAGGCCCTTGTGCCTGCCAGGGAAGTGCTTATTCCACTGAGCCATCTCCCCAGCCCCAGCCTTGCTTTCTTAGGACCCATGTTTAACGCGTATTTGTTGGCTGATAACTGGTGGTAGGGAAATCAGTGTTGCTCCATGGGAAGTGGGGTGCCCGGGGCTCCAGACACCCATTTTCTTCAGCTGGGAACCTGTTTGACCTTCAGGTGCTGAGGGTCTCAGTCTCCTCACTGAAATGCATAAGGTGGGGTGGGGCCAGGTGGGGAAAATGAGGCAGAAAGAGAGCAAACCTTGTATGCAGAGTTATGCACACCTGGAAAAGGCCGCATCAGGTGCCTGCTCAGAACCCGGGGCTGGGAGGGCCTGGCTGCCAGCGGTAACGTGAGCGCCTTGGTGGAGTCTGCAGCCGCAGGCCGCTTCTTGCCTCACAGCCTCCCTTAATCCCGGGCCTTTGTGATGAGGCTCTGGTCTCCTGGGTCTCCTGGAGGAATCCAGCCTGGGGAGAGCCGCTGGCTGAGGAGTGGGTCCCCAAAAGTGCGGGCCAGCCCCGGGCCATACCCTGTGACAGGGACATCGCCAACCCTCTCCCCTGGCCCTAGTCTCGCTGGCCAGCTCCGATTTCCATCCCTGGTGTCGCCCTGGGAATGGGGTGCGGCTGGCAGGAGGGTGGCGTGGGGGGCTCCCTGCCAGCCTGGAGAGGGGGCCAGGCGCCAGCCGAATGAAATACCCTCCCAGGGAATGCGGCCTGGTCACCCCGCCCTGGAGGGCGCCCGGCTCTGGAGGGAGCAGCTCCCAGGCCGGGGCAACACCCAGCAAACCGGTTGTGCAGCTCCTGCCACCACAGCCCATGGCCCTCCCAGGCTGGGGGTGGCATCCCCGTCGCCCTGCCCCGCCCAAGCCTGATCCCCAGCTGTCTGGGAGTCACAAAGCCTGCCAGCCAGGTGACCAGCCGCTCCCCCACTGCAATCCCAGCCCTGAGGCTGAGGCAGGAAGATAGAAAGTTCAAGTCTAGCCTGGGCTCTGATGACTCAGATGCCAGCCAGCGTCTGAAAGCAAGAGAGCTGCGCTCAGGCCCAAGGCCTGGCCCGCACCCTGAGGCCAGCCAGCATCCTCTCTGACTGAAGAGAGCGCAGGGCCAGAGGGTCATCTCAGCAGGACCTGTGACTCCAGGGTCATGGGGGACCACAGATCTGGGCGTGATGTCTTTGTCATGCCAGAGGCCACAAGTGCCACATACACACCCTGAGCGCTGTCAAGGCAAAATGTCACAGTCACCCCTCTGCCCCCAGGGCTGGAGACCACTCAGCCTGTGCAGTTCTCCATGGCCTTGCTGAACCTGAGAGGTTGGACCCACCTTGGGTGGCCCACCCTTCTGTTTTTCAGGGACTACAGAGATCGCTGACCCTGTCTGGCAGCTGCAGAGGCCACGTTCTCTCTGGCTCTGTCTCTGTCTGTCTGTCTGTCTCTGTCTCTGTCTGTATCTCTCTGTCTTTCTCTGTCTCTGTTTGTCTCTCTGTCTCTGCCTGTCTCTTTATCTCTGTCTGTCTGTCTGTCTGTCTCTTTCTCTCTGTCTCTCTCTGTCTCTGTCTGTCTCTCTCACCGTCTCTGTCTGTCTGTCTGTCTCTCTCTCTGTCTCCCCTCCCCCCACGAATCTTCATCTTTCCCGTCTACACGGCCTCGGTGCACACCGACCTTGTGCAGCGTGCAACCTGCCCAGCTGCCCTGGGCCCTGTACTGAGGCTGCCTTCCCTCTCGCCCTGTGTAGACCTACTCTGGCCTGTTCTGTGTGGTCATCAACCCCTACAAGCAGCTCCCCATCTACACAGAGGCCATTGTGGAGATGTACCGGGGTAAGAAGCGCCACGAGGTGCCACCCCACGTGTACGCGGTGACAGAGGGGGCCTACAGGAGCATGCTCCAAGGTGAGTTGGGGTGCGGCTGGAGCACAGGCTGTGTGTTTCAGTGAGGGTCTCTGGGGGTGTGGATGGGCTGCTGCAGGTCATCACCACGCCCTTCCCCCTCACACCTGCTCCTCAGGTGGTGTCACTTTCCCTAGGGACAAGAATTCCTAGGCCATTCATTCAGGCAACATTTATTATTGAATTTTAGACGTGACCTACAGTGTCCTGGGGTGAAACGCAGTCCTTCAGAGGCAGCCTAGGCCTCGGTGTACAGTGGCTCAGGTTGCGTACTGCACAAGGGCGTCCATCTAAGGAGCTTAGATCACTTGAGAAGCCCTGTCCTGTCCGATGCGCAGCGCGTGTGTCCCGAGTGTCCTGCCGGATGATGTATTACATTTGCTTTAGAAGTTTACAGGTGGTGAAAGGTCACCCTGTCTGGTTCTGTTGGCTCTGTGTTTATTTTCATGGTGATGCCTCGCTATTATCAGACTGCGCTTTGTATTATGGTATCTTAGGAATAGATAAAGACGGTTGTGAGGCCCGGCCCTCCTCTGCCCAGCACAGATTTGTTTCTTTTTTATTTTATTTTATTTATTTATGTGTGTGGGGGTGTGTGGGTGGGCGTGTGTGTGTGGCCAGCTCAGCCCACCAGGGGGTGGGGCTGGCTGGCATGTGGTGCTGGGGGATTGAACCGCGGTCCCTGTGCTTTGCTAAGCTTGTTCTAAGTAGGTGCTTTAGACCACTGAGCCATCTCACCAGCCCCAACAGATTTGTTTCTTGTGAGATTCCTCCTAGATCCACCAGTCTCCACCTGTTTGAGATTTTCCACTTTTTTCTCTGTTTGAATACTTTTTACATTTTGAAACAGGACCAGCCAAATAGCTCAGCAGATTAAAGCACCTGCAAGCAGGCACAGGGGACAGGGGTTTGATCCCTGGGCCTGCTGTGCCGGCCCCACCCCTGGGGCACTCTGAGACAGCCATTGAGACTGGGCATGGTGGCGCATACCTGTCATCCCAGCTCTTGGCAGGCTGTAAACAGGAGGATCACTACAAGTATGATCAAGTAGTGAGACCCTGAACACCCTGTAGGCCCTTCCCTAAAATACAAAAATAAATAAATAAATAAATAAATAAATAAATAAATACATTTTGAAATAGGGTCTCAGTACACAGCCCAGGCTGGCCTTGAACTCACAGGAGATCTTCCTGCCTCAGCCTACTGAGTGCAGATGGGATTGATGCCATCCTTTGAGGCTTGTTAGCCTCTTGTGTGGCCAGTACTTGGCCGACCTGGGGACGGCCCTGTGTCCTGCTGTCCCTTTGGCTGTGCAGTGGTATCTGGGGTCCCCTGTATCCCTCTGCTGTTCTGTCCCACCTGTCCTCTTTTATGTGTGTCCCTGAGGCACCATGGATGTCCCCAACAAACACAGTGGCCCATCTACCTTCATGGCCTATCCCTCGGCTTTTCAGGACTCCATCACTGAGCCCCTCGGCAGCCCCAGGAAATAGGTTCTCTCATTTCTGAGCGGGGAGACCAGGCCTTGGTGGGGGCAGCCTTTGCCCATGGTCATCCTGGTGGGGGTAGCTGGGTGGGATTTGAACGCAGTGCCCTTTGGGCGGTGCTGTATGTTATCTTCTTATTCTCTGTTGGGCATTGTTCCCTACGTGTGTTGGCTTGGGGGCTTTGAGTTGGGGTCTCTATGCAGCACGTGCTGGCCTTGAACTCCTAGCCATCCTCTTACCTCAGCCTCCTGAGTGCTGGGTTCATGGATGTTTGTATCACACATAGCCTTATTCCCATGTTTAAAATTACCCAGAGCCCCCCTTTCCCTGGCTCCCAAGCCCATCTGTCCCACCCAGCCCCACCTCCTCTGTCTCTCAGATTCTGCCTCTGGGACACAGTTCACCTTTGGCCTCTGTCCTTTGCCCTTTGCCCTTTGACCTCTGCTGATGTGCCCCTCCCTGTGAGAAATGCCCTCCTCTTTGGGAAGCTTGCTGCCCCATCCCCAAAGTCACTCCTGTGACCCTGGTGCCTCTCTGTCCTGGCTCTGTGGACATCAGGAGCCAGCGGGTCTCTATGTTAGTTTCTGAGAGTGAAGCAGACTGGACTGACTATACGCTCCAGGCACCTGGTGCTACGTAAGGGGTCAGTGTGCTCTGGAACGGGGCGCAGTCCTAGCTGGGTGCTGGGGCAATGTCTTGGATCTGAGACTGAATTCTGGTGTCCCTGACCTCCATGTCTGACATGTTGGCACCTGGATGAAGGTACACAGCGGGGCCTGGATGGAGGCTGTTGGATGAGTGCTGTTCTGTTTCACTGTAGTCTGTCTTCTCCGTTTGATAGACGAGGAATCAGAGAGAGACAGCGGCTTTCTCAGCTGCACAACAAACAGAGCATTTGTTGGGGAGGGAAGAGGTGTTAGAACCCAGGCAGTTTTGTCCTGCCCCCTGGGAATGACTCTGAAAAGTATGAGAGAGACCCCCAAGTGACATGGCCCCTTTTTTGTCCCCACAGACCGTGAGGATCAGTCCATCCTCTGCACGTGAGTCATCCGGGGGCTTCCTGGAGATGGAGGGGTCCAAGCTCTGCTTGGAGGGCAGGGCAGTGACCCCCAGGCTCACCAGACTGTCCCCCTGGCCCCCACAGTGGGGAGTCTGGAGCCGGCAAGACAGAAAACACCAAGAAGGTCATCCAGTACCTGGCACATGTGGCGTCATCACCAAAGGGCAGGAAGGAGCCCGGCGTCCCCGTAAGCACCCGCCTGAGCCACCCTGGACCAGCCACCAGCAGTGCCCCCCACCCTGGGCTCCTGTCTCTCTCTATCTCTGTCCCTGTCCCTGTCTCTCTGTCTCTCTCGCCATCCTCTACCTTGGCTGCCCAAGAGCCTCCTGGGGGCCTCACTGGAAGCCGGGGCAGGTGCCAGAGAGAGGCCATGCACCAGTCAGTTCTTGGCCTCACTGGGTCTGAAACAGTGCCCAGCACCCCGCAGAAGCCCCCTTTCCCATGGCCCTGGTCGTGGGTTTGTCTGTACTGCTTCCAGTGTGCCCCCCTCTGAGCTCATTTAGCCATGTGGAAGGGTCACTGTTCCCTGCCCCAGGTGACGAGGAAACACCAAGTACTACCAGGTGACTCTGCAGGGTCGCACTACCAGGAAGGGGTACCGCAGGCCTCGTGTCTGTGGTCCCCAGACCTCCCGGTCCCCAGTCCCTCACCCTCGACCCTGGCCTGCCAGGGCTGCCCGTTCACTGTGTATCTGTCCATGTTCCATGTGCTGTGTCCGGTCCCTGTCTCGTGTCCTGTGACGTCCTCAGGCCTCCACCAGCACCATGTCTTATGTGAGTAGCAGGGAGTCCCCCCGTCCCCCCATTTTGCTGCCCCTGGCCATGCAGCCTTTGGGAGAAAACAGCCAGGGACCCCCACAGCCCCAGTGATGGTTCTGCTGTGTGCACACCACAGTTGTGCTGCCGTGTGGTGAAGCCCTACTGTGTGCATACAGCCCCTGGGTGAGCTTGGGGGAAGCCCACGTTTGGCCCTTTCCATGTGCCAAGCCACACGCCTCTCACCTTGCATGTGTTCTTTCCTTCCACAAAGCCACCCAGCACAACCACAGTGTAGTCTGGGAAGAGGAAGCTTTGGGCTGCTGGTGTTTATTGAGCACCTACTATGTACCTGGCTCAGACACTGATAGGGGTGAAGGGAAGTCCAGTGCTTCCTGCCTTGCAGTTATGCCCCATTTATCTATATGAGCGGGATGGTGTGACATACTTTTTATTTAAGATTTTAAAACCAGGTGTGGTGCACACCTGTAATCCCAGCACTTGGGAGGCTGAGACAGGAGGATTGCCATGAGTTCAAGGCCAGTTTAGGCTATATAGTGAGTTCAAGACCATCCTCAACTACAGAACAAGGACCTGTTTTTTGTTTGTTTGTTTTTTTAAGTGGGGGGGGTTGTTTTCACAATAATACAAGATTACATATGCATGTAACAACAACAAAATCAGATAAAGTGACGCCCCCTTTCCTCAGTCCCCTTTCATAGGCGCCTTGTGCTGCTGGCAGTTTGGAATGTATCCTTCAAGGCCTTCTTCCATGTGAAAATAAGAGTCTTGTTTTGTGGTGCTTTTTTCTCTAGTTTTTGTTCACGAGAACACACTGTAGGGACTGTTGTGCAGCTTGTTTTGTGTTTGGTTTCCACTCACCATTATGCTTGGAGCCTTTCCTGGTTCCCTGACAATAGATGGATGGGCAGGACCCGGATGTGGACCAGCCCCGCTGCCCAGCGTACAAAGGCCCTTCACAGGCGGCTGGGCCGGGCCCAGGACGGCGGGTTCTCACCTGCCCTTGTCTCCCACGCCCGGCAGGGGGAGCTAGAGCGACAGCTTCTGCAGGCCAACCCAGTCCTAGAGGCCTTCGGCAACGCCAAGACGGTGAAGAACGACAACTCCTCCCGCTTTGTGAGTGCTGGGGACAAGTGGCCAATGTCAGTGATGTGGGGAAGGGTTGGGGGGACAGGCCAGAGGGAGGAGGCGGGGCCTGGACCGTGGAATTTTCAGAGACCCCTTGCTGGGACTCTCCGTGGGGTGTGGGTTGCAGCCACAGGGAAGGCTGTCAAAGGCCTCCGGCCACCGGCCTTGGGGTGTCGGGGGCTGCAGGCTCTGGGTTCAGGTTCTGAGCTGAAGCTCCCGTGTCCCCCTCCAGGGCAAATTCATCCGCATCAACTTTGATGTTGCTGGGTACATCGTGGGAGCCAACATTGAGACGTGTATCCTCTCACAGCCTGAGGGGCCATGGGACCCGGGAGGGGGACAGGGAGGAGGTGGCCCTTTGTGCCCGATGCTTCCAGGAAACAGCCGTGGGCTGGGTGCTGGTGCCTCATACAGCGTCTCCCACACTGGGATGGGGACAGCACTGCCACTGTGGTGAAAAGGCCTCAACTGGGCATGGTGGCGCACACCTGTAATCCCAGCACTCGGGAGGCTGAGGCAGGAAGATCATTGTGAGTTCGAGACCAGCCTGGGCTACAAAGTGAGCTCAAGGCCAGCCTGAGCTGCATAGTGAGACCCTGTCTCAAAGTGACAAACAAAATTAAAGGTCTCGCTGTCTTGACATGAGGTGCTGGCTCAGGGTCCCCAGAACCGCCGTTTTTAGGGACTTAGTAGAAGCCGGAGACTGGGCCTGTCACGCTAGAGGCTGTGATCTAGCTGTAAACGATGTAGGTGGGGCGAGACAGGGCCCCGGGAGGGGCAGCAGCCAGGTGCCCTGAAGCGAGCCAGGCCTCTCAGGAATGGCCTCAGGTGGCTGTGTCACTGGGCCTGTGCCACAGCACTGGACTTTCAAAGTCATTCATAGGCGCCAGGGAGATAGCTCAGTAGAATAAGCACTTGGCTGGCAAGCGCAGGGTCCTGAGTTCAATCCCCGGTATCAGGAAAAAAAAAAAAAATCAAAGTCATTCATAGAGTGAGACACCAGCAGAGGAATTAAAAAGGTCCAGCCAGGAAACATTGAGGCATGGGTTCGAGTCCCAGCTCTGCAACTTTGAGACTTTTGGCACCAGACTTGGCCTTCTGCCTGAGCTTCTTCCTCTACAGAAGGAAGAGGAATGTAGAAGCTGCCATGAGCGCTCGGGGGGCTGTGTGAGCCTCTCCATTATGTGCTGCAGAATAAGCCACGGTGGCCACAGCTAGGGGCTGACATAGACAAGCGACATTCCTGGGTGTTGGTACTATTAGTGGTTAGCAGCTGCTAGTCGTGATGTTAACTGTCGGTAATCTCAAGCACATCCCTGTCAGCCAGGGAAGAGTTTCTCTGAAGGCCACTCAAGTCAGAAAGAGCTGGGGCACCACATCCCTGCTGCCCAGGCCTCTTGCCTCCACCCCCTGGGCTGTGCACCGTCCTGCTGGCACCTGTCTCCCAGCCATTGATGGGGTGGGGCTTGGTGGCCAACCTGAGGGCTCTCATGCCTGCGCTGTACCAGTGTCAGCACCAGCGATGGGGCTGGGCAGGCACCATCCCAGCACCCTGGGTGTGTCACTGTGGCCCCCAGCCCTCCGTGACTGAGGTGGATGCTGCCGTTGCCCTAGTGAACAGGGAAGGAAACTGAGGCTCAGGGGTGCACCCCTCCTGCCACTCTTTCTTGGACCCTTCCTCCTTGGGTCCCCCTGTGTAACCCAAGCAGCCAGCTCACAGTGTCCCCAGCGTGGCTGGCGTCTGAGAGGGCGGGGTGGGGGGGGGCCCTTGCGTGCTCATGCGCCTTGACTCACCTGTAGACCTGCTGGAGAAGTCGCGCGCCATCCGCCAGGCCAAGGACGAGTGCAGCTTCCACATCTTCTACCAGCTGCTGGGGGGCGCAGGGGAGCAGCTCAGAGGTCAGCGTCCTGGCCAGCCCCGAGGCACCCCCGGGGAGGGGGGAAGATTGGCAGGAGGGCGGCCCGAGGCCTCCGCTGCCCTCTGCTTCCAGCTCTGTCCCGGCCTCGCCCCCACGCTGTCCTGGCCCCGCTGCTCTCGCTTCTGACCTCCTCTTCCTGCACCTTCTGCTCGCTCCGAATGGTTCTCGCCGCCTCCTGATGCCGATGACCCCGGTGTGTGCTGCCCTTCGGCCCCGTCCTGCACCTCGACTCCTGCCTGCAGCCACTTCAGCTCCGGCTCCTGCCCCTTTTGCCCCCTGGCTGCCCAGAGAGATGCCCCTCACTATCGTTCACAGCCTCGCCACTACCCTGCGACTCTTTCCTTTTCTGGCTCCTTCTCCCCTGAAGCTTGATTCTTCTTTTGCTTCCTATTGCCATGGGCCACTTGTCACTCAGATGCTCACTCTCAGTGGCCTTTGGAAGCACAGGTCAGCTGGGCATCATGGTGCGTAGCTGTGATCCCAGCACTCTGGGAGGCTGAGGCAGCAGGGTCTCAAATGTGAGCCCAGCCTGAGCAACCCTGTCTCAAAAAAGAAGAGAGCTGGGGATGTAGCTCCGTGCAAAGGCTGTGGGTTCCATCCCTAGGCCTGCAAGAAAAAACAAAACCCAAAACACGTGTCCCCTGGTGCTGACCCCTGGTGACCTGGATGAGAAGGCCACCACCCACTGGGTGGTAGAAGGGACTCTTTCTGGGTCACTGTGGGGGTCTGAGTCCGCAGCTGGCCTGACCTTAGCCCGCCCCTTCCCTCAGCCGACCTCCTCCTGGAGCCTTCCTCCCACTACCGCTTCCTGACCAATGGGCCTGCGTCCACCCCCAGCCAGGAGCGGGAGCTGTTCCAGGAGACGCTGGAGTCCCTGCGGGTGTTGGGCTTCACCCCGGAGGAGATCACCTGTGAGTGGGCGCCGCGTGAGGGTCGTAGGGGCCTTGGACCGCCTGCTGAGGCCACTACTGAGTGCTGGGCTGGGGGTGGGAAGGAGGCGGCCAATGTCCCTGTCCTGGGGAACAGTATCCAGAAAGTATTGTGTTTGAGGGATTGAGATTTACAGTGGGTGAGGAAGGCGGGGACAGGCGCTGGGAACATCACTGCAGGGTGGGGACGATGACCCCTCAGGGCTATGAAAGATGTGGGTGTGGAGGTGGCTGCAGAGCACCCAGGCCCTCGGCCTGGCTCTGCAGTGATTGGTTCAAATCCTGAGAATGGTGAGCACCCTGGGGCTCTCTGCCCCACGTTTTACTGAACAGGACAGTTTGGTGATGATTTGGTTTCAGACTTGCGTCTGTTTGCACTGGTGACAATCACAGGATCTGAGTGTCCTAAAGAGACATTGGTTGTCTCAGGGGCGCCAGACCTCTGGGACCAGGGGTTGAACAAGCCTGGCTCCTCTTGAAGAGCTTGCCCCCTTCTCCCCCTTCTCGTGCCTGGTTTGAGGTTTCTGGTGATCCCTGGCACCCCTGGCATGTGGAAGACTTAGCTGCTATCTGCCTTTGTGTGCCCCTTGTGTGTCCGAGTACCTCAAGGCTATCTGTCCTTCTGGACCCCGAGTCAGATATGGAAGTCACTTCTGTAATCCCAGCACTGAGGAGGCTGAGGCAAGAGGATGTGGAGCTTGAGCCCAGCCAGGCTATATGGCAGGACTGTGGAAGGGGAGGCTCGTACTGGAGTAAGGACTTCCCCTGAGACCTGGTCTTACCTAATCACACCAACCGAGAGCCATTTCTATCGAGGTCCCATTCTGAAGTCCTGGGGTTGGGCTTTAAAGCACTGGCCTGCAGCAGATACAAAGCAACCTCTGTCCTCCTCGAGGTGGCAGAATGTGGGGGCTTTGCACTGACAGCGTCTTTCAGCCAAGCCTCAGGGAGTGATCCACAGGGGCTCACGGGGTGACCTCTAGTCTGGGTCATAACCTGCACTGGCTCTGGCACCACAGGAGGTGCGGAGCTGTGGTCAGCTCCTGCAGCTTCCTGGCACGTGTCATGGGCATGGCTCTTTGCACCAGGGTCCTGTAATCCTCGGCAGCCCTGCCCGGCTCCAGCTAGCTCTGTGTGGGGGAGGGGTTTCCAGCCCAGCCCCAGGTCCTGCACCTGTGTTCTCCCTTGCCACTGCCTGCTGTGTGGTGAGTGCAGATGGAGCTCGGGTTTTTTTTTTTTTTTTTTTTTTTTTTGCAGAACCGGGGATTGAACTCAGGCCCTTGCGCTTACCAGGGAAGCGCTTATTCCACTGAGCCGTCTCATTGGCCCCTGGGTTTTTGCATTTGACAGACAGAAATTTCGCAGTAAATCTGAGAGACACAGTGCATGTGGCCGACGGTCACGCTGAGGAGCCAGGGCCCCCAGCCTCTGCGCCTGGTTCCAGCTCTTCTCCTTCCAGATAGATTTTGGAGGATGAGGGAAGGGCAGCCATCCCTGGTGCGCAGGAGATCGGCTGAGTGTACCTGCCACCCCCGGGCGCCAAGAGCCAGGGGTGCCCAGGTCCTGTAAATAAAACGGGTGGTGTTGGCAGGGGACACGCGAGCCCTCTGCGTGCTCTAAAGCATCCCCAGGTGATTTATAGCCCCAAACGCAAGGTGGCATTCCGCACACCGTGGCCCGGTTGCTTAGGGATGGGGGTGGGGGAAGGGCTGCGCATGCTCAGGACCGCCCAACTTTTTCCTAAGTCTCGATCCCAAACCAGTTGATGTACAGATACAGAACCGAGATACAGAGGGACAAGCTTATTTTTGGTGTAAAGGAAGGCGTCCTCTAACCTCCAATCTGATGTTCAGCTATGCTAGTGAGAAAAATGGGAAGCTAAGCGGGCGTGGTGATGCGTGCCTGTGTTCTGAGCGCTCAGAAGGCCGAGGCAGGAGGATGGCAAATTTGAGCTCAGCCCGGGTAACTTAGTGACTTAGCAAAAACTTATCTTTAAAAAAAAAAAAAGTTGTTTTGTTTTTTTATTTTAAAGCGGATTAAAGCTCCTGCAAGCAGGCGCGGGAGGTTCGATCCCTGGGCCTCCCATGCTGGCCCCGACCCTGGGCTCGCTGAGACAGCGGTTGAGACTGGGCATGGTGGCGCACACCTGTAATCCCAGCACTTGAGAGGCTGTGAACAGGAGGATCACTATGAGTCCGATCTAGTAGTGAGATCTTGAACACCCTGTAGACCCTTCCCTAAAATACAGAAAAAAAAATAAATGATAAAGAACAAGGATATAGCTCAAGCTCTAGGTTAAATCCCCAGTACTGAAGAAAAAAGAAAAAAAAAAGGGCAAATACAAAAGGCAGCTTTATTTGAGACATAATTTATACATCATACCATATATATATATTACACATGCACACACACACACACGTACATGTTTATAGTGCACAATTAGGCCCCTTTTTGTGTGTGTAGTACTGCAGATCTAACCCAGGACCCTACGCTTGCCAGGCAGGCGTTTATCCCGCTGAGCTATGTCCCCGGCCCAGGCCCTTTTCATATATTCGTGGCGTTGTGAAGTTACCAGTGCATGTAGTCACTTGCTGAACATCCCCAGAGCCCCAGCACGTGCCTCACACCCCACTGTCACCTGGCCCCAGCCCTCATCCCCGCAACCCCAGATCTGCCTTCCCTCGGGGAACTGCACGGCTGGGCCTCTCTTGCCGGCGAGATGGCGCACTACGTGGTCCTAAGTGGCTGTTCAGCCTCTTCCGTGGTGGAGTGCATCCTGCCTCCTCCCTCTATCACTGGGGATTTGGGTTCTGTGTGTGTGTGTGTGTGTGTGTGTGTGTGTGCACGCGCGCGCAGAACCGGGGATTGAACCCAGGCCCTTGCGCATGTCAGGGAAGCGCTTATGGATTTGAGTTCTTGCAGAACACTTCCAGCGTGTCCGCAAGCAGAGTACTGAAGAAGGAAGGGAGGGAGGGAAGGGAAGGTTGGGGTATAGCTCAGTGATGTCACACTAGCCTCGTGTACAGGGTCCCGGATCAATCCCTACTACCGGAAGAAGCCAAAGAGCGCAGGTGCTGGGGCTGCTTCCGCAGCGTGCCCAGGGAGACTTGGTCGTGACTCTGTGCAGTCTTGTCTCAGCTGACTTTGGCTGTTTTAGGGATGCTGTGCTAATGACTGTCATAGCCCTACATCAGCGG